CCCCGAAGCTCTCAAGCTTAGGGTTTTTATGGGGCGAGACCACATGCAGGTGGCCGGGGAGTTTAGGGTGGGGAAATTCTAGTAGCTCTATGTTGCACAACCAGTTGCACGACCACTACCCAATTCCGAGAACTTGCAATGGACACTTAGGGGAAAAGATAAAGAAAAAGGGAGGGGTAGGGGTCTTAATTACCTATGAGCAAGCATAGTTACAGAAGCGAAAAGCTGGTTAGGCTAGTTTGGGCCTTTAGGCTAGTTTGGGCCTTTCAGACTTTCCTGTTTGGGTATGTCAGAGGGTGCTGGCAATGGGGGGTTATCCTCACATCTAACAAAATCACCCAAAATATCTTCATATTTTATGATGGAGAAATATAGGCCAGCTTGTTACTCAATTTAGGTGGATTTACAGCTATTTGAACAACCACATCCAAAGCCCATTGTTAATGGAATGATGTTTAACCTGGAGAGAAAGATCTCTAGTTCTCTTCATAGTTCTGAGATTCTTTGAAAGCTATAGTTGTGAACCTCTTTATTTTGGAAGTGAATTGTAAAGAATTTTGTCCAAAGTGATGTTATACTCCAGCCCAGAAGTAAACATATAGATTAGGCAGACTTGGAGTAGCCCAACATGGATTCTTCCACATTACTCTTTTTCAAAACCTCTGCCTCTCTCCATCATACCAAATAGTATATAACAGACTTGGCTTTGGCTTGTTGGTCTCTCAATCCAATCTCAGCTATTGTTTTTCAGCTTAACTTTGGTGACTCACTTGTGCTCAGTTCTGATCCAGACAATGGAGAACCATTCTAGCAAGAACTGAACCGATTTTTATTCTCTCGTCGATGTTCAAAGCTCAGCCTACTGTGATGCAGTCTGTGTCCGTGTTCTCTGTTTCTGCAAGCTTTGTTGGCCAAGTTCATCAACTTTGACTTGACCAGACATGCACTAAGTACATTCTGCAGACATAGCTGAAGATCTTGGAGACGTTTGCTTCCCAAAGGATTCCCCATGAAAAGCTCCACTTTTATTCCTACTAACTAGCCCAGTTTTCCAATCATATGAATTTCCTGGAATATTTTTTGAGAGAACCAGATTTATTGAAGAGCTGCTGAGTCCTTTGAAATGTCTTTACCCCAGATATAGACAAAGATAAATTTATTCTCTGAATATAAATTTATCAGGGTAAGAAGGTAAAATTTAGTCAATAAGGTACATTTGTCTGATTATGGGTTTGGCTGTGTGCAGCAGAGACTTAAAGCATCAGTGGCGTAATATCGAGGATTATTTCTCCTACGTAACTGGTGGCTCCATGGTGTCAAGGACCCAGACTTTTCCTGTCTTACTGCTTCATCGTCATTAGGGTATGGCCCTCATCTGCACAGTCCACATGGCTCGCAGCAGCCACATCCTCAGCCCAGGCAGGAAAGAGGAGGAAGGGGACATCCCCTTCTCAGAGGCTGCGCCCAGTGCTTCCCCGCACACGCACACGCACACACATGTGCCCACACGCACAAACACCCCAGCTGCTGGGAAATTATTTTGGGCAACCAGTAAAAACAGATCCTATTAAGAGGGAGGAAGAGGACAGACATTGGGAACAACGAGTAGTCTTTCCAGCATATTCCTGGAAAATATAAAACGTCAGAAGCGGCAGTAGGTGAGCCAGGGAGGGAAGAATCATTACCTCATCCAAGAATGACGTCAGGCTGTAAGTATCTAAGCCACCGTCGGCAAGGCTTGCGCTCTTCCAGGTTTTCCTTTAGAGGGCATCTGTCACACTGGAGCCAGCGCTTCTCTAGGTGGCCTGGAGCCGGCGATCCCGACCCAGCCCCAGTCGGGCGGCCTGCAGCCTCATTAGCACATCACGCGATTCTGGCCGGCAGAGCTGGTCAGAAAGTGGAGGCAGAACGTCCTCCCGGCGGCAAAGCTAATTAAAAGGAGAAACCTGTTTTCCACATGCGCCTCTTTAATACGCACACATTCTGCTTTCTTGTCATTACATGCCTCACTTGTCATCAAAGCATTCTCAATCAGTTCCTGGGTGTTGTTCTTATATCTTCAGATTTAGCACATTCTTTCTTTAGTGCTCCTCCCTTTTATTCCTCCAGCTGCTTAAAACAATTTTCCGGAGCATTTGAACAAACCCACATGCATTCCCCTCCCCCTACTTTTCTTTTTTAAACAAAGAGAATGCTGCTTTCTGTTAACAAGGAGAAAAAAAGAGAGAGAGAGAGAGCCAGAGACAATTTTGTCCTTTAGGTCCACATGGCAGCTCTCCAGTCGAGCATTCTTTTTCTACCTGTGTGGAACTTTAATTACTTTAAGTGGGAGGTCTCAGCCCAAGAAACAGGGCACCACATCGCAGTTGCGATCTACAGAGCAGATTTTTCTCTCTTAATAATGGCATTTCAAACTGAATCCCGCTTGCAGTTTTGATGCTGTAAGTGTGTGTATTAGACAACAGCTACTGCTCATTCCAGGTCGTTAGCGTCAGCCTTGAGCTCTCCTGACAGGCTTGGCCCATAGCGGCAAAACCCTGCGTTTGAAGTGCTGATTTACAAAGCATTCTCATGCATTGTCCACGCTCACCCTGCTAGGAAATAAATAACATCACCCTTATCTTGGTGATGAAAACACTGAGGCTTGGAATGGTTGACAGAGAATGAACTAAAACTGGGTCCAATCTGTCCCTGCCTTGTAAGATGTTAAAGAACTGTCTATAGTTAAAAGAGAATGAATATCTATTTTTGACAATGTGCTAAATGTTCCTTTCTTCTTTCCATAGTCCAAGATTGTCCTAAACTTTGATTTCATAGAATTATTTTCCAGAATCCTCTTAAGTCAGGCCTTGAAATTCTTTTCTGCCTCTGGGTCTTGCTTTGCTTTGAGGTAAGGATGGCAAGCTTGGGTATTTCTTATATAATCTCTAGATCTTATATTTTTGTTCCCTGCCTGAAAAGTTGTAATACCACTTTGAATCTGCCACAGTGAAGGGAAATAATCTCACATGTGTGCTATTCAAGAGTTAGGTATTTAAGAATAAAGGAACTATATATAAATATTGCTTATCTGAAAGCCTTCTGAATATTTCATTTCTAATGGAAATGCTGGGTGTCTTTAAGCGACATCATCCATTACAGAACAATTTGAAAGGGGGAAAAAATCCCACAGGGGCAACAAGAACTTTTTTTTTGTAGGAATTAGCCAATCTTCACAAAAAATGGCTGTTATCAGTTTATCTGACTGCTAGAAAATGTATTTTGCACTAAAAGAGCTAAGAGCACAGTCATTGTTTTAAAGATGCTTTAGAATGGGAGTAAATAGTCAATCTTTTTCACATGTATCCGGATGAGGATTTTTAAAGAAAAAAATACAAGTTTTATAAAATCTAAGAAACTTTAAAACTGTGTCATTTATAATGTAAAATTAATGCACTTGAAAGTCAGTGGTTGACTCATAGCTCCCACATTCATCTTCAGTTCTCTTTAGCTCATATGGCTTTCTTTAAAAATTAGTGATATCAGCTAAATGGGACTATTTCCCACTCCTACCCACAGAGAAAAGTGCTTTTGTGAACATGTCAGCCCTGTTCCATCAGCACATGCCACCCTGGAGTGCAACAGAAGCAAGCTGGCTGTGCCTGCTTGGTCGCCAATATCACTACAGATTCAGGAGCAAAATCCAAATAAGACAACCCTAAAAATCCATCTATTTATTTTATGCACATAAGCCACCTTTTAGGACCAAGGAAGTTTATGTCTAGATAGGCTCTGTGTAGTCTAATCTGGCCTCTCTGTTTTGTACACGTGGAAACTGAGGCACAAAGAGGTTCAGCAACTTGCCAACAGTCGCACAGCTGGTAATGGCAGGCTGAGCTTGGAACCCAGGTCTGTGTGACTCCAAAGTCTATGCTCCGTCCACTGCATTGCTTCACAGAGAGGAGATGATCTGCCCCAAATCATCTGCCCCCTGCCCTTTCCACAGCTCTGTGTTGCTGCGCTCAGCAGTGCCTTCCACCGGTGTCATGCTAAAGCTAGTTACGAGGCCACTTGACATTGTTCTGTAAAAGTCCCCCAGATATGTGAAGCTGGCTGTTACCTCTCCCCTGAAATTTTCTCAATCCCACTTTTGCAATCGATTTAGCCTTCTCCAGACTGAGCAGTTCCTTTGCTCCTTCCTGTGTGCTTGCCCTCTTCTGAACATGTGCGTTTCCAGTGTGGGCCCCACCCCAAATCGTACTTGCTCCTCATCCTTGTCGCAATCCCATTGCTGTCCTTCCTGTCTCCCAGCCCTGAAAGTCGAGTCATCTTTGCTTTGCCTCCTCCCCTCCCAATGCGCAGCACCCTAGCCCTCTCCCGCAGCTCACCCTCTTTCTCCTTCCACTGCTCAGTACGCTTTACTCTGACTGTGGAAATGATCTCTTGACTGGTTTCCCTACCTCAAGCCTCACCAGAATTGCTTTTCTAAACTCCAGTAGCTGTACAAGGTCTAACTATTGTTGGTGTATCACCCCTTGGACCAAGAATCACCATCCTGAATACTATTACTGTTATGTTAGGTTATTAAGTTTGAAATGTCCGATTTCCTTAAGTACTAAGTTTGACAGTTGCTATTTCTGACATTTTTCACTTGATATTTCTTGTTTTATTTATATAATATATATATATATATATATATATATATATATATATTTGAGACAGAGTCTCACTCTGTTGCCTGGGCTAGAGTGCCGTGGCGTCAGCCTAGCTCACAACAACCTCAAACTCCTGGGCTCAAGCAATCCTCCTGCCTCAGTCTCCCGAGTAGCTGGGACTACAGACATGCACCACCATGCCCGGCTAATTTTTTCTATTTTTAGTTGTTTGGCTAATTTCTTTCTATTTATAGTAGAGACAGGGTCTCACACTTGTTCAGGCTGGTCTCGAACTCCAGAGCTCAAGCAATCCTCCCGCCTCGGTCTCCCAAAGTGCAAGGATTACAGGCATGAGTCACCGCGCCCGGCCTTGTTTTATTTTTATTGTGAAGGTACATCTGCAGTTTTTCAAACGCTTGTTTTGGCTTGTGATTATCTTTTAAATTTTTTTTAGAGCAATTTGTGGGAAACCATGGCTAAGTCAAAAATTCATTTTTTTCAAATGAATTCATTATTTTCAAATGAATTCCATTGTGAAACCAATGCAGTGCAGAAGATATTAGTGAAGGGTTTGGGAAGGATGTGGCTAATGAACGCACAGTACTTCCATGGTTGGAGAAGTTCCATTCTGGTGATTTTAATCTCAAATATGAGCCACGTGGGTGACCTGAGATCAACATGGACAATGATGAGCTGAAAGCTGTAGTGGAAACAAATCCATCTCACGTGAATCCATCTACACGTGAATTAGCAGCAAGGTTTGATGTCACTACTCCAACAATATTGGACCATTTGGAACAAATCAGCAAGGTAAAGTGTCAGGGCCAGCCTCTTGGCAGACTGTTGTCCTGCTTCTTTGGCTCCTTGCTTGGAAAATTCACAAGCAGGGCCGGTGTGATGTACAGAAGCAATGCCACACAAATAGCTTTTATTGCAGAAAAGAAGGGAGCTATACAAAGTGAGGGGACATTCCAAAGAGGAACGGATCGGTCTCCACAAGTGGAGAAAGATGTTGAGGACTCCCAGTGGTTTCCTCATATTTCCTTGTATTGGTCCAGGGGAGGGCTCACAGGAGGCGTAGGATGTTACCAGGTGATTGATATACATAATCGACAGGTGTTCTTATAACAAAGTTGCAGCTCCACAGCTGTGTGTGCCTCAAACGTCAAATGCCTGCTCTTTGCACTTGTTAGCTGCATTTTCCTGCAGTCCCTTCCCCAGCTTCTCCTCCCCTAGAAACTGCCCTCCTGTCTTGCATCAGCCACCTGCAGATTTGGTCCCTTCCTAACAAGCTGGATAGATGGGTTCTGCATGAATTAAATGAGCATCAGCAGAGAGATCGTCTCGAAGCTTGCCTTTCTTCGCTGTCACAACATAAAGGTGAAGCAATTCTATACCCTGTTGTTACATGTGATGAAAAACGGATTCTTTCTGACAATCGCACGCATTTGGCACAATGGTTGAATAAAGATGCAGTGCCGAAACACAAGTTGTTGTCATCAACAAAAGCTAATGGTGTCTGTGTGGTGGTCCAGTGTTGGTATTATCCACTACAGCTTCGTGACACCTGGTCAGTTGATTATAGCAGATGTCTACTGCAACCAGTTGGATGAAATGATGAGGATGCTTGTGCTTAAGCAGCCGAGATTGGTCACTAGAAACAGGCCAATTGCCTTGCAAGACAACGCTTGACCACATGTTGCACAAACAACGCTGCTCAAACTATGGAGGCTGGACTTGGAAATTCTCTGTCATCCACTGTATTCACCAGAACTTGCACCAACTGACTACCACTCCTTCCAGGCTTTGGATGACTTCTTGCAAGGAAAAATACTCTTTTCTCAACAAGCTGTAGGAAACGCCTTTCGCGATTTCATCGCCACTCGCTCTCCAGGCTTCTTCCCTGCTGGCATAAACAAGCCACCATTAAGATGGCAAAACTGTGTCCATAGTTTAGGCACACACTTTGATTAATTGTACTGCTTCTTGTTTGAGATATAATAAACTACACTTTTTATTCGATATCGAACATTTCATATTTAATGACCTTAATAGTTCTACTGTACCCATCAGCT